TATATATATATATATATATAATTTTACAATCAATTAAAATCAATAAATTCAACATTAAAAGTATGATATTCAAAATATTTTATAAACATTTAAGTAAATTATAACATTTTTATAATAAAAGTTAACAAATTGAAATGTTAGAATAAAATTAAATGTAATAAAATCACTATTCATAAAATATTACATATTGAAAAAATATATAAAAGAAAATTGTATATAATAATTAACCTCATTTATATAAAATAATAATCTATTACTTAATTTAAATTATTATTTGTTGCCTTATATATATTTTGTTACTAGTTTTAGCATTAAATTAATTTGTGTTGCCAATAAAGATTAAAAAAAAGTACTACAAAAATGTCAAGGATTTTTTTTTTGTTACAAAATTTTATATGAGAATAAGACATGATCTCATGAGAACCAATTACCAATCTCTTTATAGATTTTTAATGGAATTATCCATCATCTACCCCTTTTTCAACACAAGTTTATGTGAAAGGATATAAGAACAAGGGAAGCCGAATTCGATCACATTTTATCGTGTTTTATGCAAGGCCAAATTGTCAAGGATCTAAAAATAATAGAAAAAATAATTTACAAGGACTAAAACAAGACATAGTGATATTTACAAAGACTTAACATATTTAAGTCTTTTAAAATTTATAAGATATATAAAAATATAATTAATAATATTTTTAAAACAAATAAACTTTTATTTACATTGATATTTTATTTTAATTAACATTATTACCTGTTTTAATTAATATTACCAGTTCTGTATTTTATTACCTCGCTATAAATGGTTCGAAGTTACTGCTCAATTGTCACTCATTGGCTTTAGAATTTCTTACAAACATACACGATAAGAAAACAAAAAGTCAAGAATATGAAATCCGCTTCCAATCTAATGATTTTCTTTATCTTTGTCTTTGAGTGTTCAAATGGCTCCAATCTTATCCCTCAATCTTGCATGGAGGCCTCCAAGAATAGCCCAAATGTGAGGTCGTGGGCTTACCAAATCCAACGCAACCAACGTGCTTCCCATCATTTTGGAACTCTTAAAGAGCAAAATTTTTGATCTATACGTAAAGGGTTGCCTAAGAGATTGTGTTGATCTTTACAAGGATTTAGATGATGCTGTGGCTGCTTTCAAGTCCAAGGATTTAGACACTGCTGCACATGTGAAGATCAGTTCAAGGATAAGAAAGGTGAAAAGTCTCCTTTAACAAAGGAGAATCGTCACTGCTTTCAACTCAACGTAATATCTTTGCCTTTCATTAAAAAAATTATATATATTTTCTGTCTTTTTAAAACTTTCAAGTTTAATTTTATTTTCTTATATTTTTTTGTCACATTTTATTTTTTTTTTATTTACAGATGCATCACTTTTAATTCTTAAATTTATTCATATAATATTTTATAAGAAATGATAATATAATAAGTAAATTGAATAAAAAATATTTTTTTAAAAATCTGTTAACATTATTTTATTTAATTAATGTAATAAAATATATTATTTTTAATTTAATTATGTATTTATTTTTATGTTATAAAAATTTATATTTTTAATTTTTATATAAGACATAATCGTTCGCCTCGAACTTATCAAATATTAAGACTGCCCTGTATTAAACAGAGCAAAATTCCTTCATCAAAGAACATATGCTCTCAGCTCCTACCTATCAGTCTCTCACTCTAACTAGTTTAGGATTTAAAGTTTAGGGTTTACCCTTCTCTCTCATTCCCACTTAGCCCTGTCTAACTCATATTGGGCCTGGGTAGCTGTTGTTGTCATAACATAAAAGCCCACTTGGAGCCTCCCATTACATTTGGGCTCCTAACACTTCTAAACATTGATTGGGTTAAATCACAGTTACTTTGTTTGTATTTTAGGAAATGTTATTAAGTAATCTAGCGTCACTAAATATTTATTGTTTTAATTAATTACTAAATAATATGAATTTAAAGTTTTTAATCTGTTAGAAAAAAAATTAATATACTTAATTATTTATAATGTAGAGACCAATTAGGAAAACAAGCCCATTCTCCGTATCCTTTCGTCCGTAGTGACCTTAGGAAGCTTCGACAGTTAAAATCTTGTCCACGAAATTACAAACGAAGCCTAGTATTGAAGCAATTATTACAGTACTGTCTTGTTATGGATAATTAAACAAGAAAGAGAAATCCGTTAACGAAGCTTCCTTCATGGTAGTACTTGCCGCTCCTTCAACTCCTTCACGTATATTAAGCATCCATGCATGCACCAAAACTCACACCATACTCAGATTTTACACCAAATAAATGACGTTACACCCCTCTTTCTCCTGCTTCTCTTTCTACCTTGTTTTCTCCTTTGTCACCTCACTCCCTCTCGGAACAAGGTCCACCTCCTTGACTACACCCAAGGACATAATCAACGAGACCTGCCAAAAATGTGCCAACCAATCCATCATCTTGAGCTACGGCCTATGCTCGACTTCTCTCCCAGAAATTCCAGTGAGCCACTCGGCCAATCTGGAAGGGTTGGCTTTGGTTGCAATGGAGCTAGCCCTAGAGAACGTGACTAGCACGCTTGCGACGATAGAGAAGCTGTTGGATAGTACGAGCTTGGATAACTTTGCTTTGGGGTGCTTAGCGGATTGCTTGGAACTATACTCTGATGCTGCATGGACGATAGTGAACTCCGTAGGGGTTTTCTTGTCTGGGAACTATGAAGTAACTAGGACGTGGATGAGTTCGGTCATGGAAGCAGCGTCCACGTGCCAGCAAGGTTTTAGTGAGAGGGCTGAGGTTTCTCCTTTGACGCAGGAGAATTATAATCTCTTTCAGTTGTGTGGTATTGCGCTTTGCATCATTCACATGGCTACCCCTGAAGCACCTTTTACTTAATTAACCCGCTCATCAATTTGGTACTATATATATATATATATATATATATATATGTTGTCTTCCATAATAAAGTGAGTGATAGAAACGTTGTATCTTGAAGAGAGAGAGAGAGAGAAATTATGGGAGGAAGACTGAGGAGAGATAGATGCTAGCTAGACATCGATTAGAAGCAATTATGTATTTTTTTTTTTAAAATATAGTGATTTTGTTTTGAAACTACATTATTAATATGAAGTATTCATTTAAATCAATGACTTGTTGGTAGAGTGTGATAAAGTTATAATTAAAATATCTAATATGATAGTTAAAAAAAAAAAACAAAGAAACTTGTTTTCAAAAGCATAAGTTATATATATATTTTTAGTTTTATAATCTATTATTGATTACTTAATAATAAATATAGATGCAATTTATATACAGTATAACTTTCATTCATATACTAAACTAATACTTCCCAAAATTGCAACACCAACAAATTAATATGGATATAAAAATGAGTTAAATTATTGTAACGTGCTTTAAAAAAATAGGTTTAGTTGAATTTGATTTTTTTTTTTTGAATTGAATAGAAAATCTTAACCCAAAATGTAGTAGGTTGTTTAAAATGTTTTTAAAATCATCATATGGATGATTCTATCGATAAAAAATATTGACTTAAAGATTACTGTATGTTCAAACTGGTAGTAATTTAAATTTAAAATTTTAACATTAATAATATTTTAAGTAATAAAATAATTAAAATTAAGAGAAATCAGGGTCTAAATATTAAATTAATACTAGCTATCAAAAAATATTAAATTAGTGTTGTCAAAATAATTAGTATACTAAATATATATTTATAAAGAAAAAAGTTAATAATTATTAAATAAATAATTTGTATTTATATAATATTTAAATATTTTTTTTATTATTTTAAAACATTTTGGATTAAATTTAAAATTATAAAAAATGAAAAATATCATTTCAAACCAATTTTTTGCTATAAATTTTTTTAATAAATTAGGATTGATTTAAGTTGATTCTTGTCAACGATAATAGATTTTTTTTTATTAGTATGAATTATAATAATTATAATATAAATTGAATATAATATTATACGCATATTATTTCAACTCTGTTATTAGACTGAAATTAATTATATTTTTTTTAAATTAAAAGACCGATAAAGACTACTAATTTTTTGTCAAATTGACTAGTGTAGTGTAATTTTTAAAACAATTGAGGGGTCAATAGAGAATAAAGCTCAATGGAAGAAAGTTGATTTTCAGTTATGTGCTATTTTGTGGCAATCTGTGGAACCCAATATACTGGGAACACTTAGAGCCTTTAAAAGTTGTTGCTCTTTTTGGAAGAAGGCTCAAAGTATCTATGTTAATGACATTCAAAGGCTATATGATGCTGCACAAAAATTAGCCTCTTTGAGACAAACTAGACATGATATGGTTTCTCATGTGGTTGAAGCTCAAGCTGCCGTGGAAGAACTAAAATTATTTCTTGATGATTAGTCATTGGAAGGAATGAAGAAAAAACTTGATAGGCTATATATGGTGATGATTTTATGCGAGAAAATTCATCAATAAAGGTTACAAAATATCTGAAACCAAAAGATGTTACACGGCTTGGACCCCAAATGTCAGAGTGAATGGTGGTAAAAACTGAGTTACATCTTTTTTCAGTTTTTTTGGGAAAGGATGATCTAACATGTTTGCCTAGTTGACATGACTCACAACCCAACTCTTCCAATGTTTTGAGACTAGGAACTAAGAGTTTCAACTTTGACAAACTTGGATGACTCAAACGATCATGCAAAAGCTTGGGTGACAAAACAGCAACACAAGATGCAGATGGTTGCATTCCAAAATAGTAAAGACCACCAAATTCATGTCCTATGCCAATCATCTTGCCTGTACCACGTTCCTGAATGACACAAGATTCAACATTAAAAGTTACTAAACAGATTAAGGATTTAGTTAATTGACTTAAAGAGATTAAATTGAAAGGACAGTTAGGGACAAATAAAATAGATTTTAAATTTAACATGGGAGAAAGTGAAACTTGACCAATTCCTTTGGGAGCAATTTTGGATCCATCTGCTAAGGTAATAAGATAGGGTGATTTAAGAGAGGACATAGACAAAAATAGAGAATCATTACCAGCTATGTGATCAGAGGCACCTGAATCAATGATCCATGGACTTTGACTTGCAGTTAATTGAGAAATATAGGTTGTAGAAATAGTAGGGGTAGAGGAAGATTGAGCTTGACTCATAGCTTTCCATTGAAGATATTCTTGATAATCATTTTCAGGAATCTTCCTATCAACCTTTTCGAATTGTCAGACTTGGACAAATTTGCTATCTTTTCTGGAAAACCATGGAGAGAGTAACAATTCTCTTGACTATGACCCATCCTTTTGCAGTAGGAACATTGAGGACAACCACTTCTACCCCCTCTTCCTCGATTTCCACGACCACCTCTTCCCCTGGAAGATACCATAGCAGAGGCTTCAACAATGGCAATAGAATTTTCACTCTTGGCTTTAGTTGGAACTCGGAGTAGTCTAGTAACTAGGTTGTCCATTGAGGGAATTTCATGACCGGTCAGGAGTTGATTGTGGAACTTTGGTTCCTTGGTCAAGGACACCATGACCACCTAGAAAAGGAAGACATTGAGGGGTCAATAGAGAATAAAGCTCAATGGAAGAAAGTTGATTTTCAGTTATGTGCTATTTTGTGGCAATCTGTGGAACCCAATATACTGGGAACACTTAGAGCCTTTAAAAGTTGTTGCTCTTTTTGGAAGAAGGCTCAAAGTATCTATGTTAATGACATTCAAAGGCTATTCTATATATATATATATATTTATTTTGTAACAATTCACTTTGATCTCTACATTAAGTAATATAATTATTAACAACAAATAATAATTAATTACTTAAAATTATAAGTCTACTGATATTTGAAGATGTATTATATATCACACATATGAAATTGAAACAACTATGTAAAAATATATGAAATTAATACAATATAATCTAATAAAAGTAAAATGTACAACCTAAGTTAACATTTAATCAACTTCTACTACCAACTATAACTACTCCAAACTTAACACAAAACATCAACATTGCAAATCTCAAACTGACTCCCAAAACAACTTTATTGAAAATCTATCTTTAACTTGTTCTAATATCAAGTATGATCATCGTAATTCATCCATATAGAAATACATAAGAGTAAACTAAAATTTAAAGAAAATAACATATATACAACACAAAACATCAACAACATTAGCATATCAACACATCTTCTCTGCACCTTCAACACTATCATCATATAACATCATAACACAATCAACATAAATAATTTAGTCCATTACAACTTATTATCAACTTGAACATCCTTATACCAACAACTCAAATTGTTCATCATAACAACATAGTATATAAAACATAGCAATTACTTGTCTTGTCATGCATTTCAACTAGGAGCAGATCTTCTATAACACAGGATAAATACTTTAAGTAGCTTGACCTTATCAAACCAACAACACAAGGTGATCTTTTTGACTTGTTAGATTAACAACAAATTGTATATCAATTCACAACATATATAGAAACTTAATTTCTCGGATGCCGTCACTTAAACAAAAAAGTCTACTACCGTTGTTAGGATAGAAAAATTAGGTATAAGCTTATCATGACATTAGATAACTTAACTAAGCCTTCTATGAGATTTTTCTACTGGCTCCCTCCCAAATACTATGCCTTACTAAGTTTTCTGACTTCATACTTTACTCAATTGGTCAATCTATACATGTATGGTTTAACCTAACCCTCACAGGGTACCAACTAAGGATGTAAAAAAGACTCAACTATCCTTTTCAAGGATCAACTTTTCAAGAAGGATTTTAAACAAAGTTGGACTTTAAGAGCATCACAATACAATATTCACACAATGAGATATATATGTAGCTTTAAAACAACCTTTCATGTAGTCTTAGGTTGATCAACACAGCTCAACAATATTATGCCTAAATACTTAAAGCATTCTCAACATTCATCATTTTAGCAACACAATAACATCATCATGCAATTTCATCACATCTACACAATCAATCCACAACTCACAACATACATCGTACATCTTCAACATAACTACACAATTATACTTCATACAATTTAACTTCACTTTCATCTAGCATCATATACACCTAATCATCATTTTCATATATCAACACGTATAACATGAGCAACAATTTTATCTCAACCTATACAATAAATCTATCTACTTTATTTATGCTCATCAATTTACATACAATAAAACTACCTTAATTTCTCATCACACAACATATAACTAATCAACTCCAAAAATATGCAGTGAACCAACACTTAACTAAAACTTGTTCTAAGTGTCCAAAATTTATTTTGAGTGATCCTAAACAAAGTCCTTTATGAGCAGGACTTTCAACTATAAGTTACCATTACATTTTTAAGGCTTATTTTTAATCCTTTACAAATAAACTTTTTAAAATTTAGAATTATTTTTTTAGTTAACGTACTTTTATAAAATAAATCAGTTTCTCTATTCAAATATCATTTGTAATTCTGTCATAGAAACTTGACATGCTACTAAATTAATCACAAAAATTTACTTATTACATTAGTATTATTTTTTCTTTACTTTAATATATTATTAGTTAAAACATCTTATCAAACACAATTAATGCTTTCAATTTGCTTGTGTTACTGATATGCCGGAGTTAAGAAACTAAAACATCCTTTTTAAAAGAACTAAAATCCAAAATTATTCTAAACTTAAGATAATAAAAACATATTTAACTATTAAAATTGTGATTTTTAATTTTAGTTAGTTTTGTTGTTCGTTGAAATCGTTGCCGACATGCATTCCACCGGTTCACGCGTCCAGCACGAGATTTGACAAAACCAACTCAGCTTATGTGAGCTTAATCAATTTGATGATTTACCTTTTCTAATCATACCCTAAACAAATTGATTATATAAAGTTAAAATTAATGCAAAATTATTTACTAACCAGCTAAGAACGAATCCTTAACATGCGTAAATACATAAATAGCGATCTGTTTTAGAAATAAATAATTAAGAGTTCTTAAAACCAGGTAGACATGCACTGACAATAATTTTAAAATTTGAGCCACCCACCCTCCCATCCATCATGATTCATAATCAATCAAAAGTTAATTAACGTTGCTTTGCTTTGGTTGTTGCAGTGCTTTTCTTTCTCAGATTGTCAAAGGAATTATCGAAACACTTGAATTGGATTCACAGAGTGAAAGTGTTCCGCAAATCTGGGTTGATTTGTGAGAATGGCGCCAGTTTCAGCTCTCGCAAAGTACAAGCTAGTGTTCTTGGGCGATCAGTCCGTTGGCAAAACCAGCATCATCACTCGCTTCATGTACGACAAATTCGACAACACTTATCAGGTCTTCCTCTTTCAGATCCAATCTCACTTTCGCAATTTCATTCTCCATTTTTACAAAAACCAAGAGATCGCGCTTTTACCATCATTGCTTTCCTTCCACTTTTCCCCAGTTTAGGTTAATTATTAAAAACAATGTTAAACGACGACAATGTGTTTTGGATATGGAACTTTTTTATCACCCGTCACTCGCCTATTTAATTTTCAAACTTTACCATTTCTTTTTTCTCTTTCCAATTAGATTGGCTTGGAGCCATTTATAATAATTTTCATTCAAAGATTTGGTTCAATTTGATATATTTATGTAGCCAAATAGGATAGGGAGGAGAGAGAGGACACAACTTAGACACGCCTCTGCTTAAGTATTTTTTGGTGTTACTCCAGATCAAAATTGGAGTTTAGACTGAATAATCTATGATGACATTTAAGGCAAATCTTTATTAGTCACATTGTCTAGATAAGACTAGTGTTGATTGAAAAATAGTACCAAAAGTATTAAAGAAATTTTATCTAAGTTTTGTCCGGCGGTGAAACAGAAAACAGTTTCCACTGCAACACATGTTGTTAAATTTGGAACTATATGGAGGTCAAATACTTAAGTTAAACAGGCACTAAAAGAACTCTATCCCCTAATTGAATCCATGTGTCTGTTTTCATGGGAAAAATTATTTGTAGCACCGGTAATGCTGAGTCATGCACACTAATTTTTGGACTTTCATGCCAAAATTTTCTTGTTTTTACTTCCTTTTCCACCTGCAAATGAATCTAGACTTCACAATATCCTTGGTTTTCATCTTATTGTGTACACATGCATATCTATACACGTAATGTGCAGATATAATTGTGCACATGCATCAAGTTTATCATTCAACTTGGCCGTCATGCATATTCTTGCATGATGAGCATTTCCATTTTTCTAAATTGATTTTACATTCTTGTAGTACTCAGAACTTATTTTTCCTTTTGACAAACAGGCTACAATTGGTATAGATTTTCTGTCAAAAACTATGTACCTTGAAGATCGAACTGTTCGACTGCAGTTGTGGTAAGATGTGGCTTAATCATTGTGAAAATTCTAGATTTCTAGGAAGCGTAAGGAGTATTTGTGAAGAAAATGATGGAATGGGAAGCAAAGGTCACATTATTTTGTGGCAGAAGGGGAATGACAATGCCGTTATTTTAAAAATCTAACTTTACTCTTCCTCATTAAGGGTAAAGGGACACTGAAATACTAAATTTTGGAATCCTCTGGAATGTAGAGTAAAGATAACTTCCCTGCAAATAAGGAACAAACAATGTCTACCTCCCTTTCCCTTCTTTTCTCAATTTTCATCCACTCCTAAAATATACAAATTACTGATCTGCACACATATGACATATGATTATGATGTTTATCTTGTTTCTTTTGTATGTTATATTTTATGTTTTATTTCAAAGGTTTATTTGGAAATCAGAAGCTGAAGAAGTGATATTTTATGATTATTGATTACTAACATTATTTATTCTTTTTTGAAAAACTTACCCATTTTATTTTAAAGTATTTTTCCTTTATCTCATACCTTTTTATCTCACTATAAAGTCTGTTTAAATACTCGAATAGAGAGTTTTGCTGATAATAATGGTCTTATCCAACTTGGTCAGAATTGCCTCCATTGGAGGATACTAAAAACAAAGACTATGATGTCTGTTTTCAATGGTTTTTAAATCAGGTTTTGTAGTGGGTTGATTTATGCAGCATTTGATTTCTGCTTTGCATGCTTTGCTTTATTCAAAGATTCACGTATACTGGCAAACTGGACTGAATTCAATGAAATTTGATTGACAAATTGTAGTTTCTATATTACACTATTGATTTTATTTTTTTTTATTAAATTCTTTTAAGAAAATCCTCTAAAAAATCTTCACATTTTTTTTTTTTTTTTTTTCCTTTTCCCATGTGTTATGACAGGGATACAGCTGGACAGGAAAGATTTAGAAGTCTTATTCCAAGCTACATTAGGGATTCATCTGTTGCTGTCATTGTTTATGATGTTGCAAGTATGCCATTTAAATGTGCTTTCTTTTCACCCTTTCCCTTCTTGGCAATTTATCTATTTTTGCATAATTTTCATTATAACAATATATAAATATCTAATTAGAGTTGTTTTTCTTTCTTTCTTTTTGGATTTGGGTTAGTTAAAATGTTGAATTTGAGGAGCTTTGAGTTTGCTATTCATTATTTATTTCTTCAAAAACTAAGGAAGAGTTATATCTTAAAGGAATATGTACATGGCATATTAAAAACGAGAAAAAAAAATGATTCACTAATAGTGTAAAGCAGTTTTACATTCTCATTCAACGTCAAATCTTTATGTATGGTGAGTTTATTGACTTTTACAATAATTATCTTAAAGTTTATATTAACAATGACCTTTTATTAATTCACTGATAAAAGCTTTTACACTGACAGTTCATGATAATTAAATCCATTAAAAAAAATAACGTAAAAGTTCCACGTTAGTTATTCCTTTTTCTTTCTTTGGGATGTGACTGGAATATTCATTTTTCACATAAAGTGAGCGGATACTTTTAACCAAAAAATCAAGTGAATATGGAATGATCATATGGCCTTCTAGGTGTCAGTGCAAGGCTGAAGATGTCTGTGCCAACTAGGTGACACATTATCAGGAGAAACCAGAGCTTCTCTAGAAGTAGCTTTCTCTAACAGCAGCTGCTAGTTATTCTTAGACAACTAGAATCTCTCTGAATGACTCAAATCATTGGTGCATAGTTTTTGTTCACTGTTCCTAAACATTTTGACGGATGTTTTCTGATTATTCAGCCTTCTTGTGATGCAGGCCGTCAGACTTTTCTAAACACATCAAAATGGATTGAAGAGGTGCGCAGTGAAAGAGGCAGTGATGTAATTGTTGTTCTTGTTGGGAACAAAACTGATCTTGTGGATAAAAGGTAATTTCTAATCAACGATAGACTGAATTCATCTGTTAATTTCTAACCAACGGCATGTTCCATGACATGGCTCTTTTGTTCTCTATTTTCTAATGGCCTATTTGATGTTGATTTTTGTCTAATTACTTATTTGCCTAAGAGTGGCTCCATTGTCTACAACATGTTACTTATTTGTTTAGAGCTTTATTCAGTCTCTTATTTTCTTCAATATATTTATTATACGATATGTGTACATCTCGGAGAGAGAAAGATATCTAGGAAAGTGGGAGGAGGGACAGTGAAAGATGTTATCCAATTTGGCTTTCTGTCCTTCCACTGTGTTTGCAACATTTCCAGGAAAAACTGTTGTAACATGTTCTTTTCTTGCTACAGACTGAATATTGTTTCCTGACTAGGTGAATATGGAACACACTTCATTTTCCAAACCATGCATCGGGAAAATCTTATTTCTGGTGAAATAATTGCTTTTTATTCAGAAAAGAAGTTATTATAAAATAAGCTAATCCAAACACGCACAAGAATGTTGCTTAGCTTTTAGAAACATGTTAGAAGGTCACTGCTATCTGAGAAAGGAATTAGCAGAACCCTATATCCTAGGCTTTGTATCTCGAATGGTTTGGCCCTTTAAATTCTTCTTTCGTTTAGTTTCCAATGAAATGTTTCACAATTCACCTTGGGTTCCTAATCCAGGAAAAAAATGGTTACCAGAACAATGTCATTTTTGCATTGCCTTTTCATTATGAGTAATATTGTATACATATGACACTACAGGCAAGTCTCTACAGAGGAAGGGGAAGCAAAGTCCCGAGAGTTAAACGTTATGTTTATTGAAGCTAGTGCAAAAGCTGGCTTTAATATAAAGGTAAGCCTCCTTTTTTGACATTGATATTTAATATCAACTTGAAATAATCTAGAAGAAAACTATACTCGCCAGGTCTTGAGCTGCATGCATATTTTTTTAGTAATAAATTTGTCTTAGAAGTTAATAAATTTTTCTTGTATAATTATAAGCCTATTGCACTTGGGTGAGATGGATCAAATGCGGGATAGTCGTTAAAATTCATCTCAACTATGGTGTTAGGTATCATTTCCTAATGAGATATATCTAGCAGAACGAAATTTTCCTTAAGTTTGCTTCTTGTATATGTACACGCTGGCATTATGATATATCTACTTGTTTTATATACTTGGTTCTAAGTTTTTATTTGTACTGCTTTATGAAACCTTCATATTTAGGCCCTCTTTCGAAAAATTGCGGCTGCATTGCCCGGAATGGAGACATTATCTACCTCAAAACAGGAAGACATGGTCGACGTGAACCTGAGGTCTTCGGGTGGCCATGACTCTCAACCTCAAGAGGGTGGATGTGCTTGCTGAATGTGCCTTCCTTGTCCTAAAGTTTTGTATCTTTCTGCTTCATGCTATTTATTTGGAATGTGTTTGCCTCAGATATGTAAAGGTTTATTAGTCCTTTAGACTTGAACAACTTTATTTGAGAGAAATTACTGAAAACAAGTGGAGAGGGAGCATTGAAAGAACTGATATGATATAACACAGCTTATTGGTTAGTCGATTATTCATTATTTTTAGTTTGGTTAAAGATACAAGTCTGCGTTTACCTTCATCCAAATTATGAAAAGCTAGCTAGGAATGTATTCAAGTTTTAGAAGAAAATCTTTGAATTTCCAATCCATCTAAAGTTACCTAGACATGTCAAAATGAGCCTAACCCAGTGGATTAATCTAACTCACTATAGATTCAGATTAGACTGGATTAGGAAAAATAAAGATATATTGCTTTTGACTAAATTTCAACCTAGCTCACTTAACCCATAAGCTAAATAGATTCAAATCTAAATGAGTCGGATTAGCGTGGTTGAAGCTCAAGCTGCCGTGGAAGAACTAAAATTATTTCTTGATGATTAGTCATTGGAAGGAATGAAGAAAAAACTTGATAGGCTATATATGGTGATGATTTTATGAACATTGCATTCATACTTTAATCATGTTCGTGATCAACTCCTGACCGGTCATGAAATTCCCTCAATGGACAACCTAGTTACTAGACTACTCCGAGTTCCAACTAAAGCCAAGAGTGAAAATTCTATTGCCATTGTTGAAGCCTCTGCTATGGTATCTTCCAGGGGAAGAGGTGGTCGTGGAAATCGAGGAAGAGGGGGTAGAAGTGGTTGTCCTCAATGTTCCTACTGCAAAAGGATGGGTCATAGTCAAGAGAATTGTTACTCTCTCCATGGTTTTCCAGAAAAGATAGCAAATTTGTCCAAGTCTGACAATTCGAAAAGGTTGATAGGAAGATTCCTGAAAATGATTATCAAGAATATCTTCAATGGAAAGCTATGAGTCAAGCTCAATCTTCCTCTACCCCTACTATTTCTACAACCTATATTTCTCAATTAACTGCAAGTCAAAGTCCATGGATCATTGATTCAGGTGCCTCTGATCACATAGCTGGTAATGATTCTCTATTTTTGTCTATGTCCTCTCTTAAATCACCCTATCTTATTACCTTAGCAGATGGATCCAAAATTGCTCCCAAAGGAATTGGTCAAGTTTCACTTTCTCCCATGTTAAATTTAAAATCTATTTTATTTGTCCCTAACTGTCCTTTCAATTTAATCTCTTTAAGTCAATTAACTAAATCCTTAATCTGTTTAGTAACTTTTAATGTTGAATCTTGTGTCATTCAGGAACGTGGTACAGGCAAGATGATTGGCATAGGACATGAATTTGGTGGTCTTTACTATTTTGGAATGCAACCATCAGTATCTTGTGTTGCTGTTTTGTCACCCAAGCTTTTGCATGATCGTTTGAGTCATCCAAGTTTGTCAAAGTTGAAACTCTTAGTTCCTAGTCTCAAAACATTGGAAGAGTTGGGTTGTGAGTCATGTCAACTAGGCAAACATGTTAGATCATCCTTTCCCAAACAAACTGAAAAAAGATGTAACTCAGTTTTTACCACCATTCACTCTGACATATGGGGTCCAAGCCGTGTAACATCTTTTGGTTTCAGATATTTTGTAACCTTTATTGATGAATTTTCTCGTTGTACTTGGGTATACTTAATGAAAGATCGTTCTGAACTTTTGTCTATATTTGTTTCCTTCTTTAATGAAATTCAGAACCAATTTGGAAAAACAATCAAAATTTTTAGAAGTGATAATGCCAAAGAATATTTCTCCCTTGAATTGTCTTCCTTTTTATCTTCACAAGGTGTTTTACATCAGTCTACATGTCCACACACACCCCAACAAAATGGAATAGCTAGACATGATATGGTTTCTCATGTGGTTGAAGCTCAAGCTGCCGTGGAAGAACTAAAATTATTTCTTGATGATTAGTCATTGGAAGGAATGAAGAAAAAACTTGATAGGCTATATATGGTGATGATTTGTGTGTGTGTAGTTATCATTTAAAATATTGATTGATATTTTCTTATGTATTTGTATTTGAATTAATGATAAACTTGAATTTTTGATAGAAAAAAATATAACTCTTTATTTTATTTATTAAAAATATGAATATGTATATATATATTGGGGTTTAGGGTTTTTAAATTATTGGAGACCAAATTGAAACTTAAAATTAAAATGAGACTAAATTGAAACAAAAAATATTATCAGGGACCAAAAGAGATTTCACATATATATATATATATATATATATATATATATATATATATTATTTTGTCGTATCTTGTATTTGTGTTGATATTCATGTCATATTGTGTCTCTATTATATCCAATTTCGTGCTACATAAATTACCATATTATTCTTATTTTTTTTAAAAAGAAATAAAAATTAATGACTAAATGCTAATTTTAGTTAGTACTTGGAATTATAAGATTTAGTCATTTTAGTTGATTTTACAAAACCCTTATTAGTTTCTGATTTTACAAAATGTTATTCACTTACTGCAAAGTCCAGATTAAAATAAATCTTTCAATTCTCATCACTAACAAGGAATTATTATCGGTGGGTAAAATAGATAATTTGATACGCATAAAAATAAGGCGCCGTTGCCGGGGATCGAACCCGGGTCACCCGCGTGACAGGCGGGAATACTTACCACTATACTACAACGACATCTTGCAAGCAGCCAGCAAAGTACGCATTTGATCACATTTCCTATTTTCTTGAGATATATTATAATCCCCCTTGTCTTGTTATAATACTTCTCATCTTGTGTTTATTATATTATTATATCACACTTTTAATCGAATTATATGTGAATCAATATAAATAAATATTTTAATTAATTTTATTGAACTTATAAAATAAAATAATAATTTATGAAATTTATATTTTTTATTTTCATTAAATTTTTATGTGAGAGATAAAATTATTGTAAACTTTAGATTATAAGTGAGCATTTTTTCTTACTCTAAAAATGTAAAGTAGGATTTTGAAGCGAAAGAAAGCGCGAGGGAACCTTAGGTAGCGGGAAAAGGAAATGGGATTTAGAGGGAAACACGAAGAGGTGGCGTTGGGGCAACTCATCGTTTCCGGGCTCTCCCAAGAGCCACAGTGGGCGACCTCAGCCATCAAGAAGCTCTCGTCCCATTCCCTCACTCTCCCACGCGCCGCTTCCCTCTTCGACCATCTCCACCACCCCGACGCCTTTCACTGCAACACCATCATCCGAGCCTACGCTCGCAACCTCGATTTCCCTAACGCTCTCCGTTTCTACTACCACAAAATGCTCGCCCGATCCCTCCCCCCAAACCACTACACCTTCCCTCTCTTCATCAAGCTTTGCACCGACTTTGGGGCCCAACCAGAAGGCCTAAAGGCTCATGCCCGAATCGTCAAATTCGGCTTCGGATCCGATTTGTTCGCCCGGAATGCGCTGATTCGGATGTACTCGGTTTTCGGCAGAGTTGGACATGCCCGGATGGTGTTTGACGAAGGTTCTGACGTGGATTTGGTTAGTTATAACTCGCTGATTGATGGGTATGTGAAGAATGGGGAAATTGGTGCTGCACGCCAAGTGTTTGATGGAATGTCTGAGAGGGATGTTTTAAGCTGGAACTGCATGGTTGCGGGGTATGTGGGGGTTGGGGATTTGGATGCTGCTAATGAGTTGTTTGAGACGATGCCTGAGAGGGATGTTGTGTCTTGGAATTGCATGATTGATGGGTGTGCCAGGGTGGGGAATGTTTCTCTGGCTGTTGAGTTTTTCAATCGGGTGCCTGTGGCTATGAGGAATGTGGTTACGTGGAATTTGGTGTTGGCGCTGCATGCGCGGGTGAAGAATTATGGCGAGTGTTTGAGGCTGTTTGGTAGGATGATGGAAGGAAGAGAGGTAATGCCGAATAAGGCTACGTTGGTGAGTGTGCTCACGGCGTGTGCAAATTTAGGGATGCTTGGTATGGGCATGTGGGTTCATTCTTTTATCAGAAGTAACGACATTAAGCCTGATGTCTTGCTTTCGACTTGTCTGCTGACAATGTATGCAAAATGTGGGGCTATGGATTTGGCTAGGGGTGTTTTTGATGAGATGCCGGTTAGAAGCGTTGTATCGTGGAACTCTATGATCATGGGATATGGATTGCATGGGAATGGGGACAAAGCTCTTGAACTGTTCTTGGATATGGAGAAGACAGGTGTACAACCAAATGATGCCACTTTTATCAGTGTGTTGTCTGCATGTACTCATGCTGGAATGGTCATGGAGGGTTTGTGGTACTTTGATCTCATGCGTCGAGTTTACAAAATTGAACCCAAGGTTGAACACTATGGTTGCATGGTTGATCTCCTGGCTCGAGCTGGTTTGGTAGAAATTTCAGAAGAGCTTATAAGGAAGGTCCCTGTGAAGGCTGGATCTGCAATATGGGGAGCTCTACTTTCTGGTTGCAGTACCCACCTGAACTCGGAGCTTGGAGAGATTGTAGCCAAGAGACTTATTGAGTTGGACCCACAGGATATTGGCCCTTATATTTTGCTGTCAAATATGTATGCTGCTCAAGGGAGATGGGATGATGTTGAACGTGTGAGATTGATGATAGAAGAAAAGGGGTTACAGAGAGAAGCAGCATCCAGCTTGGTTCAGCTTGAAGATTTCGAATCTAAATATTTTGTCAAGAATAACTCGGGCTATAGGAAAAGGATGATGTACTCGATGTTGAGTGAGTTAAGAGAACAGATGAAATTATCCATAGAACAGTCAATTAAGGAAGACAATTTCGTGTCTAAATAAAAATAAGAGTCTCTACATTAAAGGCTGTTGGGAGAGAAGCAAAAGTGCAAGTTAAGGAATGACGTGTTGAGTTAAAGATGTTATAACTCCCAAAAGAGGCTGCCACGATGTGTTGTGGGATGGAGATGCTATGTTAACGTAAGAATGTACAAAACGAAAGGATCTGGTAGATGCTACAGCGTCCAGATTGGTTCCACCAAGATTTTAGGTCTCTGAAGTTTCTGGCGGAAGATAATTCATTTATTTGATGAAGAATGAGTTGCTCAGTGTCTTGCATAATTAAGCCACTCAGATAAAACTCAATCCATAAAATCAACTGTAGAGAAGAAATATTTAAACGATGGATTGAAGATTGAATGCATAAAAGATTCTATCAACTTCGTTTCTCAAGTGAAAATTCTTGCAAGGCAAGTGTCGGGTCGTACGTTACATATATGAAATGGAGTTTTAAGGAAAACAAGTGGCTGGTGGATCAAGAAATCCTTGTTAATGCTATCAGATTCTAGACCCTCCTCTCACCTTCCTTGTGGAAAGGATATCAGAGTTGCAGACAACTAGATATATTCATATCTGTATCTTTTTCAGACTAGATGAGAGAATAATGACATCTAAACCCATGACAAGGAAAACCCATACAAAACACTTGCAAATTATTTACATTTATCTGCTCTCAAGAGACAAGTAAGGATTCAAATCTACGACTTGTCAGATTCAAGACTGTCTTGTATCACTTGATTAGTTCGTTAGGATTCATATCTTTATCTTTGTATTCAAATGATTGTAGTTTTGAATTTTTTTTTCCCATCATATTCATAGTTGTATAATAGCTTATTTGATGAGCACTTGTAAATATCATGACATAATGGGTAAAATAGTCACTTTTGTCTCTGAAGTTGGTAGATGCTGTCACACTAATTCCTAAAATTAAGAAAATGTTAAATAAGTTCTTTGAAATATCAAATAAATTATTTAATTTAATTATTTATTGGCATTTTGATCCCTAAACACATGTTAATATCATCACTTAAGTCATACATTTTTTGAATTTTGGATTAATATGAATATTGATTTGCACTTTTTGGAACTTCTATTTTCCTACGATTCAAGGACTATGATGACTGTTTATTCATAAAGAATTTAAGTCTTTCAATCTCAGTCTCTGTCCGCTCGGGTGCGGGTGCAGACACTTGTGTTGTTGGGTGAAGAGCTACCGAATAAAGTTTAGGAGTTCTTTTCTTTGATTTTATTAATTATTTTACGAAAGTTGATTTATTCTCCTGTTGTATAGTCATTTGTCAGTAGCAAATATAGTATCGAGTCCGTACTATATTTGTTTAATAATTGTTGGCTTGTTTGAATGAAATGAAAGCATAATTCCAACTTGAAATTACTTACTTGATCTTCCAATATCTAGAATTCTTTAAGACATTAGGCATATGACTTTTAAACCATTAAAATGAAATTTATTTCCTTTCCTATTAATATTTCATAGATTCTTTTTGCTTGGGTAGCTGCAATGCCTAATGGCCGGATCTTTCTTTGATGCTGAGTGACAATTTTGAGCATTTGGTTTTCTGAGCATTTCCTATCTCAAGTATTGATATTCTATCTGTTTACCTTGTGAATGATTAATGATATGACCAAGTTCAGTTGCTCAGTTGTTGATCAATTGAAAGCTACTGGGAAACCAAGTGATATTTCAACATGCTTGTGAATATGATCAAGATATTTTAAATTTTGAAATAGCCAGGGAGTTGGGTGACATGTCCAGTAAGATCATAGAATTTCCTCAGTCTCGCTACTTCGGAGAGAAACAAAATTACTGGAGGGGAATAAAATAGGGTAAATCGACTGAACTTAACATAATTAACTTATTTTTTTATTTCATTACAGGCAATAGCAGATTAATAAATCATTTTTTTGCTGCTTCTCTCTATTGGTCCACTTGTACCCCCAAGTCATATGTTTGTCCAGCCTTCCAGTCTTGTGGAATGTTATTAACAGGAGCGACCCATGTTTCGTCTCCCTCTTCTTCAGCACTGAACAACATCCTTAAAGACAAAGGTCCACTTGGTGGAGCGCCAGTGGTCCAAACTGCCCCATGACTCCGATCCAGTAACTTGCAGACAAAGTTCTGAGTCTGCACTCAGCAAAAGAGATTATACTCATTACATTACTTTTCATGTAACTAACTGGACCCTACTGATACAGCCATTTCAGTTGAGTGAAGAGTTACACAATTCAGGATATCTTGTCAAATTTACTGATGTCTATATCTATTTTTTTTTTATCCATGTCCTAGAGATTTACAACAAATCACGCATCTAGCTGAGCTATACCTCTTTATATCGAAGTTAACTATTGGGTAAAAAATTATAATCTTAATTTTGACAAAATAAGTATCATGATAGACCTCTTTATAGAAAATAAGTAAATGATCTTAAATACTCGTTTCTCTAGCTTCTTGATTAAATGACGTGTTCAAAATTTTGACAAAATTACTAACTAATTTCCATAGTCAGGGGAAATTACCTCACAAAGCTGCACAGCAGTTATGTCTCTACTTCCTTGTTGAAACCATATGACAAATGCCAAATAGTGAGGGTTGTTGCTGCTCTCATCTATCTTAACTGTAAGGTTTTTGTTTGGGTAGCTGCATGAAACACTGCAGATAACAGAGGCCAAGTTAAGTCTTTAGTTTATTGACTACATTCTAGATTCAAAAAAAAAAAAAAAAAAGAAGCAAAATTAAGTTAATGCAGCAATGAATTAAATTGTTCTGTGTGGGGAAGAATATCTCACCGTCTATATTCAACATCAACCACGCCAAGAGCCAATAGAGAAGCAGCCGCATCAGTGTTCACAGCCATCCCACCAAAAGCTCGTTGGCTAAGAATGAAGTCAGTGTTACCACTTGAGCCTTGGTCAGTTAAAACTACAGTGACTCCGTTGCCTGAGCAATAAGCACTATTGGTACATCTAACCTGGTGATGGACCCAAAGTAAAACACAATGAAAAATATTGAGTACATAAACAGTTAAATCGCAAAGATGCTGTTGTAGAATGCCTATTAAGTACAACTAATAAAAAAATTAACATAATATGAAAATAACTTTAGTTTGAATTTCATTATGTACTTATTTATTGTTATTTTAATATATGAACTTTTGATCGGTTATGCGTATAATTATTGATGATGAGCTCATGCAAATTTAATGCAAGAATTACATGGACAAAATGACAAATATATAACAATAAAGAAAAAAGCGGTTTATGTGTGTAAGTATGTGTATTAAAAGAGATATCTACATATAGGTTATTTAATTTGTTACCATCTTCATAAAACATGCAGGGTCACGTAACTAAATTAAATCATCCAATATACAGTGACAGTTAAATATACTAGCTTGATGAACTCACCTGGTAACAGGCTCCACAACCAACACCATTACGATAAAGATTAGATGCAGCTGATACATCTCCACCATTAACAGTGGCACCAAAGGAACCAAATCCACATGCACCAACTGCATTAAATTAAGGAACATATATGAGAAAAACAAGTTTACAAAATCTATTTTCATATATGTTTGTATTTTTGTTATTCTTGTATCAGTTTTCTTACCATCTGTGCCATTTTGTTCAGAGTTTGGATAATAGGCTGCACGAGATTGAACAAAACAATCGGTAGTACATGAAGTATCTGCCAGAGTTTGCATGAAAAGAAAGGTGGCAAGAAGAGGACACAAGAGAGAGAGAGCCATATGTGGGACGAAATTATAAAAGCAATTAAGATAGAGGAGAAAGGTTTAGTAATGCATCAAGGAAACCAGATTAATCCTATTTATAGAGAGAATTCGGTCGTTACCAACTTTGACATTGCAAAGGTATGGAATAAAATTATTCACATGCTGAATAAGGGGAATTTTGTAACCGTACGTTGTCTCTCAGTTATTTGCATAGACTATATAAGCTACATGCTATTTGTCTTAATTTGACAAGGAAAATCACTTCAAAATTTGAATTTTTTTTTCGGATTTGACTAGGGTAAGCTAGACAAAATGCAATTTGACGGTCCAATCCAATTCATCATACTTCAACCACTAAATTATCTGATTTTAGTTAGATCTAAAGAAATTAGATCTAAAATTTAACCTGGTCAAATTTAAAGACGAATTAAAATCAAATATAACTAGACTCAATCTATTATATATTGACTCCTAAATTTAGCTACTATAAAATATGAAAATATATAAAACAAATAAAGATATAATTTCAATTAATTTGAAGTAAATTAATTAACAACTTATTCAAGTTATCACCATGAGTTGTTAACTTTTATTTTTGGGTAATTATATAGACACCATAATATTAGATACTCCATTAACCAATTCTCTCTTCCCGATGGAAACCAAAAAATAAGAACAAAAAGCATAAAAAAAATGGGGGGAATAAATGATACAAAAATGAAGAGAAATCAGAGAGATAGAAAGGCCGGAGAGAGTCGTGGAAAGGATTTGGATTCCTCCATTAATACTTATTATTTAATTATTTTTCTTTCTTACTATTATGTCATATTAATTATCATATTTATACATACACATCCTCTCACAATGCTTTAACATTTTCATTATTTTAAGCATTTCAATCACCTGTCTCCTTCAACTTAACGATTCTAGAATAATTCCAAGTTCGTTTTAGTGGATCCTATAACTTAAAAGGTTCCTGTAAAGCTTCACACAATATACAATTACAAGTACAAAGTTTAAAAGGTATAATTCTTTTTCTCAAACAACCATTCTTTTTATATGGAACGTGCGGCTTGCTCTCTAATGGAAACCAATTGCTTTAAGATTGTCTAAAAAGATTTTTTTCTTCCTATTTTAAAAGTAACAGTCATTGGAACATCTTCAATTTAATTACTTAACTGAGTTCTTAAAGTTAAGTAAACTCTAAACCCTAAACATACCAAAGAAGAGTTCAGAAGCCAAATTAACTTGGATTCTTTTGGTCCCTTTCTACTGTTTTATTTGTGTGTGATGGGAAAGAAAAACACATGATTCAAGTAAGACTTTATCTCTCTTTGTTATCGTTATACAGTACTAGCATTCAAAAGACATTTCATATTTTTGTGAATTATTTTTATAAAAATAATGAAAATTAAATAATAATGAGTGATTATTAAAATATAAGTGATTATAGAATAAAATTTACAAAAATAGTAAAAAAATGTGTAATTTGTAAATGATAATTATAAGAATAAAATTGTCTAAAAACATCATCAAATGAGACAACTTCCCTTATTAATAGTATAAATATAATGATAGGAGAAAATTCAAGCCCAACATGATTTAAATTAAAAAAATATTTTAAATATAAACTACTTTTATTTTAGACCAAGATTAATTGATGTATTTATATTTTTTTCATTTATATTTGGGAGTTAAAAAATTGTTTTATTCTATTTAGCAGCAAATAATATCATATTTCACGAACTTCAAATAACATTTTAGTCTTCGAATAGGGTATTTTTGTTTTAGTTCTTTTATTTTTTTTTTTACATTTTCGTCCTTGTTATTTTATTTTAATCTTTGTGATATATATATATATAATTATTTTAGTCTCTATAATATTTTGTTTATTTTTAGTTAGTTTCTATTAAAAAAAAAGAACTAAAAACAAATTATTCATATATTACAAGGACTAAATAAATAACAAGAATAAAAACGAAACAAAAAATTTTATAAGGACGAAAATGATTTTCTTTTATATGGCTAAAAGTAAAAAATATCTTATTTTAAAGAGTCTAAATTTATTTAAGCGTATTTCACACCATTTCATTGACACAGATCGATCGCTTTTGAATCCTGGGCAAGACCTACTACTCTAATGGAGGGTCCCCTTCTGCAAACAATATATATGTAATCATCCACTCCGATTATTCTGATAGTTAGCAATAACGTTCTCTCTTGGATCTCCACTTTCTTGCATTATTTTCATTCACAACGTTTGACTATGACTTATGATCAAAGCCAATTGACATTTGCTCACCAAATAGGTAGGCTAAAACCAAAGATTGAGTTGTACTGAATTGAAAATATCATGTAGCTAGCCATCCTGAATTGGAATATAAGGACGTAGAGTTAGGCCCTTGTGCACTTTGATATCATGACATATATATAGCAATTTCCACTTGGGCTTGGCCAAAGATGGCATAATTAATAAGGACCTTGATATATCTCAAGGTGTGGAAGGAAGGTGTGTATGAAATATCCATCTAATTTAATTTGGAAGATACATCACACGGGGACACAATGCAAAAGAAGCAGTCATAATTAGAAAATGACCTTGGTCCAAGAGTGGTCATGAGCCATTCATGTCCATGTCATTATAGTGATTTCAAAACCCAATATTTCTTCTTTAAATTCATATCAACTGTGAGCTCCAACCGGTTTAATTTATGTTTAGATTGCTACTCGAAACTTGGGATACTATTTTGTTGCATAAAACCTAAAAGGTTGGAGTACTATTTGGATCAGTTATTTTTTTCATAGTTGAGATAAAATAATAAATAGGTGTTTCTACTCTTTTTTTATGGTACAATTATATTTTAGAGGGTATAATTAATTTTTAAGTATTATTCAAACTTACCATTATCGAGTTAATAACGTTGGTTTATAAAGAACTTGTTTTCAAATACACTGTTAATCTCTCTTTTTGTAGAAATTTTGCTGCCAAGTTTTCATTATTCTATGAAAGGCAATATAGCATAAGCCTTCCTAAACTAATTAGGCTAAAAGCTTAAGATTTAGCTCTTTTAGCACAATTTTCCAATAAACTAACATTTTATAAAGAAAATGATATTATAATTGTAGGTTGAACACCTGAATACCTGGTTGTTCTTACACCTGAACATTCAAAGGGGTTAATATATAGTTAAAATATTATTAGGTGAAAACATTTAACTTGTTTATACTACTAATATAGGAGAATGCTGAATTTTGTAAATAAATGGTAGACACACTTATTTTACCAGTTGGATAAAAGTTAGATTAAATTGATTTTCAATTATTAAACACAATGACAATATATATCCAAATTAATATATATTATAAATTTATAATGAAATGTGTAATTCGATTAAAAAATCTATGTATAATATATAAAAGTTGAAGTGCATATTATGCCTTAAACTTCCTTTTTATAATTAAGCTTGTTTTCTCTCCATGGTTTTCCAGAAAAGATAGCAAATTTGTCCAAGTCTGACAATTCGAAAAGGTTGATAGGAAGATTCCTGAAAATGATTATCAAGAATATCTTCAATGGAAAGCTATGAGTCAAGCTCAATCTTCCCTATGACCCATCCTTTTGCAGTAGGAACATTGAGGACAACCACTTCTACCCCCTCTTCCTCGATTTCCACGACCACCTCTTCCCCTGGAAGATACCATAGCAGAGGCTTCAACAATGGCAATAGAATTTTCACTCTTGGCTTTAGTTGGAACTCGGAGTAGTCTAGTAACTAGGTTGTCCATTGAGGGAATTTCATGACCGGTCAGGAGTTGATCACGAACATGATTAAAGTATGAATGCAATGTTCATAAAATCATCACCATATATAGCCTATCAAGTTTTTTCTTCATTCCTTCCAATGACTAATCATCAAGAAATAATTTTAGTTCTTCCACGGCAGCTTGAGCTTCAACCACATGAGAAACCATATCATGTCTAGTTTGTCTCAAAGAGGCTAATTTTTGTGCAGCATCATATAGCCTTTGCGCCTCGTTGAGCATGATCCAACCCTGTTATTTTTGAATGCATCAAAGTCTCCACGCGCTCCCACGTGCCGCTTCAAGTGTCTGCTCTGTCAAGCGCGTGTGTCTCATGCGCTGCCTTCTGGTCGCTGAAAGTCCGTCACGCCACCACTATTGTGCTTGCTTGAGCTTTCTAGGTCTGTTTCAGACCTCATTTTATTGTTCCAATTGGTTGTTTGGGTCGCGGTCATTGTTCATCTTCTTCTCTTCGACTTTATTTCTGATTTTCTTCTTCTCCCATGGCTTCTTCAAGTCCTGCTCTTGCTATTACTGGTACACCTACCATTACTACAAAAAAGTTAAATGGGAAGAACTATCTCTCATGTGCTGCATTTGTGGAACTTTGGTTCCTTGGTCAAGGACACCATGACCACCTAGAAAAGGAAGACATTGAGGGGTCAATAGAGAATAAAGCTCAATGGAAGAAAGTTGATTTTCAGTTATGTGCTATTTTGTGGCAATCTGTGGAACCCAATATACTGGGAACACTTAGAGCCTTTAAAACTTGTTGCTCTTTTTGGAAGAAGGCTCAAAGTATCTATGTTAATGACATTCAAAGGCTATATGATGCTGCACAAAAATTAGCCTCTTTGAGACAAACTAGACATGATATGGTTTCTCATGTGGTTGAAGCTCAAGCTGCCGTGGAAGAACTAAAATTATTTCTTGATGATTAGTCATTGGAAGGAATGAAGAAAAAACTTGATAGGCTATATATGGTGATGATTTTATGAACATTGCATTCATACTTTAATCATGTTCGTGATCAACTCCTGACCGGTCATGAAATTCCCTCAATGGACAACCTAGTTACTAGACTACTCCGAGTTCCAACTAAAGCCAAGAGTGAAAATTCTATTGCCATTGTTGAAGCCTCTGCTATGGTATCTTCCAGGGGAAGAGGTGGTCGTGGAAATCGAGGAAGAGGGGGTAGAAGTGGTTGTCCTCAATGTTCCTACTGCAAAAGGATGGGTCATAGTCAAGAGAATTGTTACTCTCTCCATGGTTTTCCAGAAAAGATAGCAAATTTGTCCAAGTCTGACAATTCGAAAAGGTTGATAGGAAGATTCCTGAAAATGATTATCAAGAATATCTTCAATGGAAAGCTATGAGTCAAGCTCAATCTTCCTCTACCCCTACTATTTCTACAACCTATATTTCTCAATTAACTGCAAGTCAAAGTCCATGGATCATTGATTCAGGTGCCTCTGATCACATAGCTGGTAATGATTCTCTTACTCGGCCCATTATCCTGATGGGTACTCGGCCTAAGGAGGTGTGTTTAGTGTTGACTTTGAGCGGTGGTGTGTAGTCCCAGTACAAAGCTCTTTGTATGAGTTTTCTTTACTTTAAATTATTATCCTCCATTTCTTCCATGTATTTTAAGTGACTAACATAAATGTTTATTGGAGAAGAAAAAACAATGTTGATCGGGAGTTGCAAGCTTATTTTAAGTGTATTTTTTTAATCCTTTGAAATTACAATGTCAAAGATAGTTGTATGATTTGAAGTTAAGATTTTTTCTATATTATTTCAATCTTCGATTACTAAATTGACTCTAATGATTCTTATTTTAAGTGTATTATGCAACAGAAATGATTATATATAATATATTTCAAAAATCATATATTTTTTTTAACTTTTATTACAATATATATATAT